GCGGCCGATTCATTTTTTTTTTCGTTTTTTTAATTAAAAATGTTTTTAAAGTAATTAAGAGAGTTAATAATAAATTTTTTTTCAATAATGCTTAAATATGACTATTCATCAATAAAATTTAATAAAGAAATTAAATATTAATATTTCTTAGAATATTAAATATTAAGTATTTTGTAATAGTACTTAAATATGAATATTAAATATTAATATTTATAACTAATATATATTAAAAATTATATTGATAATTATACTAATTATGATACTAAGTATTATATTAGTATAAATTAATTAGTATTTAGGATAATTAAACATTATATTTATACTACTATATTAGTTATACTACTATATTTAGGATAATTAAACATTCTATAAATACTAATTTAGGATAATTATTAGCACAATTATACTTCTAATTATACTACCTACTCAACTACTATAATAGTATAAAATTAAATTAATTATATTATAAAAAATTTTATTAGCATTAAATATTAAGTTATAATTAGAATGAATTTCTTATAAAACTTAATTTATAATATTATAAATTATTTTATTAACTTATTAACATATATGGTAAGCAGGGGTCAATCGAAGATTTTGGAGGAGACGGTGTTGATTACGGATGTTGTTTCGCTACAAATGACCTATTTGATAGTTGTGACGAAACTGTTAAATGGGCAAAAAACATTGCAATAATATGGCGTTTCCAGTTGGTGATCTCGAGAAATTTAGATAACGGAGGAAAAGAGTTGAGGTGTCATCGAGGGGAACGTTACAGAGGTACTGCAGGAAAAGTTGGAAATTTCGTTAAGGCTGTTATGAGAAAATCGAAAACAAAATCCACCGGCTGCCCTTTTATGATAAACGTCAAACGTGATGCAACATCCAAAAAATTTTGTATCTCGGTTCCTTTAGATGACGAGAAGGGGACGCATAATCATGCGTTTGCTGTGAATCCCGAGGGTCAGCGACAGATGAGCGGACTCAGCGATCCATCCAGAGAGATTGTTCGTGATATGAGTTCTGCTCAGGCACCACCGGCAGTAATTCTGGCTGCAATTCAGGAGAAACACCCTGTGGACAACGCGACTATCCGACAAGTGTATAATTATAAAGCTAATTTGCGGAAAGAAAGTTTGGAGGGGAGAGATGTGGCTGGGCAGCTTCTGCATTTGGCTACGGTCAACAAGTACATAATTTATACTGACGTTATCCGAACACACAGGCGTTGACACATGTGTTTATGTCGCATCCACAAGCAGCCAGTCTATTCCGGACATATTACTGGTATGTCGGTATAGATTCCACGTACAAAACCAACAGGTATGTTACTTTACTTTATAAATAGACAGTTGATTGTGAATCTTATTTTAATTATTATGTTTGATTGAGTAAGTTTGTTTATTGTATGTTTTATCTTCTTGTTACAGGAATCATATGCCGTTGGTGGAGATGGTTGGGATGACGCCGTGCAATAGGAACTTCTTAATTGCCTATGCAATTATGAAGGACGAGAGCGCGTCCAGCAATGACTGGGTCCCACAGCGGTTGAGACTTCTTCTAGAGTCAACTAAAAATCCTTCAGTCATTGTCACTGACAGGGAGTTGGGGTTGATTACTCCTATCCACACGAATTTTCCACAGTCGGCCCACCTATTGTGCACGTGGCACATCAACAAAGATGTGGAAGACAATGTGTATAAACTAACATCAAAAAATAAGGTCTTCGCAGAGAAGTTCACGCACGGCAGGTGGAAGAAGGTCGTCGAGGCGAGCACGTTGGATGCATACGAAGCTGCCTTAGCTGATATGAATGCTACATACGCGAAATTTCCTCGTGTGCTAGAATATGTGAAGAAGACATGGTTAGGCTATAAGGAGAAATTTGTGAGAGCGTGGACGAACTCGTTGTTACATTTTGGCAACACGACGACGTGTAGGGTGGAGAGTGCCCACGCTACGTTGAAGAGGTGGCTGCACACGTCGACCAGTTCGCTCGACACGGTGTGGGAGAAGATTGACAAGGAGATGTAGTCTCAAATGACTCAAGTCAGGTATATTCCTTAATTTATACATATTTATTGTGTTATTACTGCATTCATTATATAATATGTTTGATTTATGCCTAATGTTATGTAATGTATTACCAGGGAAACGCTAGAGTCTTCGAGACATAGGATGCATACGAGTTACCATGGATTCCCATTCACGCAGTTGAGATTGCGAGTTTCGCATTATTGTTTGGATCTATTGAATGATGAGTTTCAGAGGATGCGAGACTTGGGCGAAGATATTTTGGATCGCTGCAGATGTGTACTGAGTTACACTCATGGGCTTATTTGTGCCTGTCAGCTAAATGGGGCATATACTATGAGTATGGAAATTACGCCCGACATGATTCACGAGTTCTGGAGCACACTAGTGGTGAATGAGCCAGGTATAATTGTGATGTTGAGTGTGTTGTTTAATTTTTTCACGTATTCTTTCATTTATATAATTAATTATTTATAGTGTGTTCTTTAATTTTTTAAATTTTTTTAACGGACAGGTCACCAGAGTGCATCAGGAAGTGGATGGACAGATCGTGATAATTTTCGGAGGCTTGCATTAGAGGTTGAAGAGGTCGATCCTGCAACGCTGAGGTACGTTACTCAGTCATGGACTCTACACTTCACCCCGACCAACAAGGTTACACAGAACCTCCAGTGATTGAAAATCCGAGAGGTCGGCCCAAGAAGCCTAATTCAACAAAGCGAGATCCATCCAAATGGGAGTACAGTCAAAGAGGCCGCCGTAAAAGCACTTCTTCCTATGCTCAATCGCAGTCGGAGTACATGGATACAGATCGCCGGGTTGGGCGTAAGAGCACTTCTTCTTGTGCTCCATCGGTCTGGGAGTACAGGGAAAGAGGTCGTCCAGTGTGGCGTAAGAGCACGTCTTCGTGTGCACCGACAAGCTCGTCTTCTCAACCTTCTGATGATCCGACAGGTGATTTTTATTTTTTTATTTATCTATACGATAATTAATTATGTTTGTAAATTCGATTATTTAAATTCTGACGTGAAATTATTCTAATATTACAGAGACTTTCTCGACACCCTTCTTTTAATATATATATCAAAAAATTTGAAAAAAAAATCAAAAATTACGAAAAAAATTTAATATAAAACCGAAAAAATTCGAAATAAATTTATTTTATTATTTTGAAATAATACTTAAATATGAATATTCAATAATAAAATTTAATAAATATATTAAATATTAAAATTTTATTATTTTTTTTTTCGTTTTTTGATGATCCGACAGGTGATTTTTATTTGAACGATAATTAATCATGTTTGTAAATTCGATTATTTAAATTCTGACGTGAAATTATTCTGATATTACAGAGACTTTCTCGACGCCCTTCTTTGAATATCGGCATTCTGACAAAATTCCCTACTTAGTGCATCCCTACGTAGAGAGCTATCTGGATGTGACACCGGATGGGAACTGCGGATTTCGGGTGGTGGCGAGTTACGTGTATAGGGATCAGAATATGTGGCGTTACGTCGGAAACAACATGGTAAATGAGATTTTAGTAAACAGACAACGATACGATCCTGTGTATTACTATGCCCTCGATGTCGCAGTCAATCGAATAAGATGGGAAGGGGGTGGTTGTGGGCAGGAGCATTGGACGGAAGGTTTAGGCGACCTCTTTGTAATTGCTACATTGTTTAATGCAGTTGTCGTGTTGTTAGGCAAAGGTGAGACAAATGACAATATCGACTGGAATAGTTTGACATTCTTGCCGGTGCACGCACCATCACCGCTACGGGACCTGAACGCGAGA